TCGTCCTCACAGACTGGCGGCCCTGGGGTGAAACACCACTCATAACGTTACACAATGCTTGTCACGCACAGCCACCCACACAGAGATAGAGCCTGTTTGCCTACCTCATCCACAAGAAATCGTGGCCCCGACATGACTATTTATTCGTGCAGGTATTCTTCACTGTGCCCCCACCCTCCCGCCTTCCTTTAGGAGCTTGCCTACTGAGAAGGGAAAGCCATGAATCTAAGAAATGCAGCTGTCTTCTTGAGTTTTCCCTGGAAGCGATGTGAGAATGGGCTCCTGGGGTTCAACAATCAAGAGAAGCTTCAGGGCACTTCTCAAGGAACTGCTAGAACTGGACTTTCTGTTATCCCAGGGTTTTTGGGGTTTCTGTTGCCCTTCCTCATTTGAAGGTGTGAGGTTGCACGTGTTTGTATGCACAACAGAAATACCTATGCGAATTTAAATAAAGCATAACCGTTTTCTTTTTCTCTGGTGTTAGAGGTTGATTCCACTAACAAAAAAGCCTCTGAGAAGACACCTTTTTGTTCAGTGGCCTGAAAAGCAAAGCTCACAAATTGCAATTTGTGATAGGACAAGAACGAAAAGCCGTGAGTTTGATTTTGTAGTCTGCTGAGTCTGTGCCTAGCAGACTCTAATAACAAGTGCAGCTAGCAATAGCAATAAGCAGGCATTACTCACAAAGAAATGGAAACAGAGGCGAAAAAAGTTGGCTGTGTTTTTAATTCTAAATATTTTTAGTAAGAGGAAGGGATCAGTTAAGAAGGTTTCCTTTGATAAAAGTTAGAAAATATTTAGAAATAATTTTGGCATTTCCAAAGGCAAAAAATAGTTTATCTCGTTGCCTCTAAAAGTGTAGGAAAGAGGTCTGGAAAACAGGACTTTTCCATCAGCTACACACACATGCTCTGCATCTCATATTTCATACCTTTGGACTGATGATACAGTCCTTTTCCAGCTATTTCTTTATTCAAGCAGAACTTCCAATACATTATTAACAAGAAGAAACTTCATGATCCTTAAAGTCCACATATCACAAAGAATACCAAAGTTCAGTACGTTATTAAGATCAATATATTCCACGTGTAGATAAGAGCTGAACTATTGTTCTTACACAGCCAACCATACAACCTGAAAAATATCATTTTGCTTTGTTCCCTTTTGAAATTAGGATTCCTTACCTAGATGCAAAAGCCCACAAAAAATGCTAGTTTTCCATTTTCTTTGGAGGTGAAAATTTTGTCTTTTAGGTCAGACATGCTCAGTGTTTGCTATAACCGCATTTTTTAACATCTCAAATACTTAGAGGAAGGATGATTAATTTGAATAGTAAAAAGTCAATACTTCACCAATTCAATATTGTACAAATTTTCCTTAGTTTTTTGCTTGTTTTGGGTCTATAAAGATAAGAAATTCATTGATTTTAAAAAGTGTGTTCAAAACTAGGCAGGAGGTGCTTTAGAAAATGCTTCCTTGTGAAAAAAAAGTCAAAGACTAGGAAATATTACCACTCCTTTGAGGAACCATCATCGCAATGTCTAGCGGGCTTTTACAACAAGATACAATATTATCCTATCTAAACCACACTCATTTCTAAAACACTCTTCTTCAATAAAATTAAAGTAAGTGACAAAGGTGAGTATTACAAACCTAATTTACAAATAAAAAGTGGAGGCTGCGTTGAAACGTAAATATCCCATCCAAAAAAAAAAATATGACTAAAAACATGCATCACAGCAAAATATGGAAAATTACCTTTCCAGGACAATTTTTATTGACATTCTCTGCCATAATCTGAAGCAGTGGTGATGAGATGAGCTTCAGCCTTGTGTCTGATATAACTGCTCTTTTTGGAGGCTCCTCAGTTCTAGGGGACATTTTTTCTGCTTCATAGAGCATAGATTTCTAAGAAATTGAAAACTTTCCAGGACCATCGAAACATTTCCATCAAGACATTCAGAAAGTCTCATTTTCAAAAAAAAGAAAAAAAAAAGAGGGAAATCCCTGTTCTTAAAAGCAGACTTTATTTAAACTTCAATCTGATGTTCTTTTATTAAAACCAGAGATGGCTAAACATACAACTATATTTGTTCAGAGTATAGAATAAAAAATGTTTTTAAAAAATAACCTATGTTTTTTGGGCTTTTTTCTCACACAGGAGAGAATGGGATGAGTCAGTGTCATTACTGCTGTTTTTTAGACAGGAACTAACTACAGCACACCTTAGAGCTTTGCTCAAAGCCGCAAAGCAAAAGCTGCTTGCTCTTCACACACCGCTTTGTGCTCAAGCCACCATATAACACTTCCTTCCATCAGTATGCTCTGCTGTTTCTTCCCTTATTCATCGTTTCACCATCCAGAAACTCTTCTCCCTGCTCCCTTTAACATTGTTTTCAACTTCTTCGTACTGCATAATACTAATAAAGGATGGACTGAGAACTGGGTTTTTTATGTTTATTCATAGCCTAAGTTTAGAAACCAAAGACAAATGGCTCCTCTCCCCAGTTCCCAATAAAGCCAAAGGACAGCGAGACAGAGAAAAAAGGTTCATCCGAAGGGCAGTCCAGAGGGGGGCTCTAACTGAAGTGCTCCAGCTGGTATTGTGGAAAAACCCATCTAGCTCCAAAGAGAACGTGCTTCCTAACGCAGGCTACTGCTGGGAGTGATGCGAATAGGAGTTATGTTACACATTTACAACAAATTCCTTTGCTAGCTTGTTTATTCAAGTGTCTAACTTCTTTTTTCATTTTCTTGTATGAAGATAGAAAATTTTTACCATTTATCCTGAAGTAGTTTTAGCTGGGAAATTTAGAAGACAGCTCTAAGATACGGATTTCCTTTTGTGAAGACAGTTGTAAAGCCAACATACGGAAGCGGTTAGCAAGTAGATTGGACCCAGAGCCAATAAGAA